TTCTAGCTTCTGACCTGCTGTTGTAGCCACTGTATTTACATGGTTATAGTAGTAGATTTCACGACAGTAATGTCATTGCGTGTCAAGGGGCGATGGTTAAATTCTTTCTTACTGGAGATAGTCATTGCCTGGCATTTGTGTGGTATAAATGTTATTTGCCACTTATCTTTTTACATTTGAACATGGACTGTTTTAGTATCTATGGAGGCATGAATGGTGCTGAACATTGTGCAATTATCAGTGAACATCGCAATTTCTGACCTTACAATGGAGGGAAGGTCATTGATGAAGCAGCTGAAGATAGTTAGGCATAGGACACAACCCTGAAGAACACCTGCAGAGATGCCCTAGGGGTGGGATGATTGACCTCCAACAGCCACAACCATTTTCCTTTGTGCCAGGTTTGTTTCCAACTAATGGAGAGTGTTCCCCAATTCCCATTAACTCCAGTTTTGCTAGAGCACCTCAATGCCACACTAAGTCAAATGTGGCCTTGATGCTAAGGGCAGTCACTCTCACTTAACCATTTTTGTCCCTGTTTTTGAACTGAGGTTGTAATGAGGTCAAGAGCTTATCTTTTAAGAAAATATACACTGATTATGGAATTCCTGGATTTTTGTTTATTATTTACTGACATTTATTGCACATCCATAATTGCCAAGAGGGCAGTTAAGAATCAACCATATTGCTGTTGGACTGGAGTCATACATAGGCCATTACCAGGTAAGGTAAAGGTGGCAGATTTCCTTCCCTAAAAGATCATTAGTGAACCAGATTTTTTTAATGACAATCAACAATGGCTACATGGTCACCATTAGACTAACTTTTCATTCCAGATTTTTATTCAAATTTCATCCATGTCCACCAAATTAATTAATTAATTAGCCTTGGGTTCTGGATTACTAGCCCAGTCACATTACAGTTCCACCACCTCCTATCCTATAACAACACTGGGGTAACCCTAACTAAGAGTCAGTGGGCAGATTATTGCTACACAAGTGCTGCTTCCTAGCATTGTGCGTGAACCCTTCCTTCACATGACTGAAAATCTAGATTGATGGCGTGGTAATTGGCTGGGTTGACTTTGTTTTTTTATGTGTATAGGACATAGGTGGGCAATTTTCTTCATTGTTGGGTAGATACCAGTTTTGTAACTGTACTGAAGCAACTTGGCTAATGGAGTGAGAAGATCTGGAGCACAAGTCTTCAGTACTATTAATGGAACATAGTCAGGGCCCATAAGCTTTGCAGTATCCAGTGCATTCAGCCATTTCTTGATACAATGTGAAGTGAATTAACTTAAATTGGATGAAGATTGGCATTTATGAAATTGGGACCTCTGGAGAAGGCTGAGATGGATCATCCATTCAGCACTTCTGGCTGAAGATTGAGGCAAATTCTTCAGTCTCATCTTTTGCACTGACACGATGGGCTTTTCCATCATTGAAGATGGGATATTGTGGAGCCTCCTCCTCCAGGAAAATGTTTAATAATCCACCACCAGCGATGACTTTATGCAGAGCTTAGAAATGATCTGTAGACTGTAAGATTGCTTAGCTTTGTCTTTGCTTGCAGCTTGTGCAGTTTGGAATACAAGCAGCTGCATTTGCGGCTTCACCAGATGGGTACCTCATTTTTAAGTTTGTCCGTTCCTGCTCTTGACATGCCCTCCTGCATCTTCATTGAATTGATTTGATCCCCTGTCTTGATGATAATGACGGAGTGGGTATATGCCAGGCCATTATGTTGAAGAATGTGTTTGAATACAATTCGGCTGATGCTCATGGCCCACAGCACTTAATGGTTACCCAGTCTTGAGTTGGTAGATGTGTTTGAAGTCTATCCCATTTATCACAATGCCTCACAGCATAATGAAAGATATCCTCACTGTGAAAACAGAGCTTTGTCTCCATAAGATTGGACTCATTAGTCGAGGGACGGTGATACGTGGTAATCAACAGGAAGCTTCCTTGCCCATTTTAACCTGATCCCATCACACTTCATGGTTTCTGGAGTAAATTTGAGGACCCCCACGGCAACTCCCTCCTGACTGTATACACTGTGCCGCCACTTCTGCTTGATCTGTCCTGCCTGTGGGACAGACCATAACCAGGAATGGTAGCATCTGGGACATTTTCTGTGAGATATGATTCCATGAGTATGACCATATTATGTTCTTGCTTGACTAGGTTGTGAGAGGCTCTACTAATTTTGGCAGTAGTCCCCAGAGGATTTTGCAGGGTTGGCAGGACTGAATTTGCTCTTGTCGTATCCAGTGCCTACGTTGATGCCAGGTGATCTGTCTGGTTTCATTTGTTTTCTGAGGATTGTTAGCAGTTTGAAACAACTGAATGGCCTGCTGTGCAATTTCAGAGGGTAGTTAAGAGTTATTCATGACCCTCAATTTGGAGACAAACAGCAAACTTTTATCAGGCCACCACAAACTTTGAAGGAATTAATGGGCTGTCCAGTCATTGTAACAAGTGAAGAAGTAATGTAATTTTCAACCTGGCTCTGGACAGCTGGTGACAATTTCATATTGTCTTTCCTGCACAGCTCATCCAGGGAGGCAATAAACAAGTAAGAAAATTAGTTTGGTGCTTTGGTTTGAGTTCGCAGAACCGATTTAGGATAGTACACCTGCTTTCTCCCAACCTTCATGAATAAAAGTTTTCTTTTAAACAGGCATTATTTAAATCAGCCTTATTTGATGTCAAAGGACATCTTAATGGCTTCTTTTCACAAACTTAGATTGTTCATTTTCTTTTCCTTTAGCATGTCACTCAAATCACAGGCTAATAATGTTCTGTTCATCTTTGAAACCTGCTGCATGATCTTTCATGCCATCCACAAACTATAGACGGGCCTCACTTTAATGTCTCATGTAAAAGAAAGCACCTCTGATTGACCATCAATATTGAGCTGAAGTGCCAACGTGGATAAGATGTCCATCTGTGAATTTGGAATTAAACCCACAAACTTATGATTCAGCAGCAACAGTGTTACCACTGAGCTACATCTGATACTTACTCTACCAGTTTACTCCTGTCAGTTCTGTTGGACTGATCATTGATGTTAGACTAATGTTCTTTTGGTTCCTTGGGTCAGATTGATTCCCTTTTTAAAAGTAAACAGTTTTGCTACTTCCTCATGATCCTATGTAACTTCAGTAAAGACTCAAATTATAATTTTTTTCTAATACAACTATCCCACACATAATTAGCACACTTAATGTGTTCCCAAAAAAATTGTGCTAAATGAAGTCAAGCTGGACAAAAATAGCTTCCCCATAAAATAACATGTAATAAGAATGAGCTACATTCCTGGCTTGGTGTTTTATAATTACAAACCTATTCTTATGTATAAATTTAGTGCATTTAACATAGTTTATGTATTAATTAACAAAATGTAAGTGACAAGCAAGACTTAACAAACATGTAGAAAATGTGTACCAATTGATAATTAGTTAAATGTGTATGAATTCATGATAATTGATGATGTGCTGAGACACAGCAAATCATTTGCCTGATGACAGGGCACAAGGTTTTTGACCATAATAAGGGTATGGAGGTACAAGTTGGACTCCAAGAGACCTCATGGAGGTGTGATTTGTGACAGGGTCAGGGAATATTACGTCTCTGCTCAAAATCCTATCTGCAGCCATTTTGGTTAGGGGTCTGGATGATTGAAAATTTTGTCTACCCCGTAAAAGTCAAAAGGGAATTTTGTCTACCCCATAAATGCCTCTCCTCATAATCAAACCTATAGTCACCTGCTATTTGCTATCTCTCCCATGGCCTTCAATAAAATAAAGATGTAGAATGTGTTTCTGACTCACTGTCAACCCAATTAATACAACTGCATAAACTTTAGATCAATATGCACTGGACTGAATTGAATTCAAAGTTTGGCTACACAGCCAGTTCTAATTAGCAAGGAGATTTTCTGGCTGTCAGTCCAATTGACAACCAATTATCTTAATCTGCTGCACATGCCTTGCCTCACATCTTTTGGGGCAGAGTTCTACGATCCTCCACTAATAGGTTTGTAGGCAGAGTTGCTCAGGCCTGTAAAATTTTCCAGGTGATTTTCCTATCAGCTTCTAACTGTCCACAATTTTGTTGTTTAAGTAAAAACAAGTTTTTTAAAGCCTTAGACACAATATTTTGGTTTATAGGAGACATTCAGGTACTTGAGGAATTATAACAGGTCACCCTGCTTAGGCATCCCTGCCCAGGCCCACCTCCAACTCAATCCCACTCTATTTCTCTCTCTCCATCCCCCAATGTGCCCATGCAATTCCAGTCTTGTTATTACAAGAATACTTTGAGTTACTGGTGATGATGATGATACTGAAAAGACTTATAAAAATTATACTAGAATTGAGATGATATGATTATCAGGAGAAAATGAACAAGGTGGACTCTCTTTCTCAAGAAATGAGAAGGCTGAGGCGTTACCTAATGGAGATTTTAAGATTAAGTAGTTCATAGGGTAAACATAGAAAAGATGCTTCACTGGTGGGAAATTTAAAACCAACAGTCTTATGTTTAAGATACTGACTATCTTTGTTACACTGGAAGGAGTGAGAATCTTGAAAGACAAATTAGGAGGAAAATAATAAATGGTAGCACTAGTGGGGGTCAGGTGAAGAAATGGTGAGAGGAGGTTCATGAGGAACATGAATGCTGGCAGGGAATTGTTGGGCCAAATGGCCTGTTTCTGTGCTAAATGCAATCTGATGTACTTTCTTGCATTTCTGATAACTGCTTAAATAATACACAGTCTGTCTCATTCCCAATTTTGCCTTGATTACTATCTTAATCTGTCTTACATTCTATTAATTTATTTTAATTCAGAAAACATCTGTAGCTGTTGAATCATTAGTATAGTATAATTAGTTGCAATCTTGAAAAGCTTTAATGAGGGGCTGACCTGAGCCTATAAACCAATGAAAAACTGCTTATCAAAATTAATTCTACTTTGTTTTTTTTTTGTAGGGACATTAAACCTGACAACATTCTTCTTGATGATCGTGGTAAGTGGCAAATATTGCCTGAGGTAACAGTAAGTAAAACTTATAATGTAATGTAAGATGCACTTATGGCTTATTACAATGTATAAAGTAGTATGCAGTATCAGTGGATGATTTGAAGGAATTGTGTCTGGTTAGCTGATCCTGGATGAGCAGTTAGTGAAGCTAAAGCTGGCCTCAGTACCCCTGTACAGTAAAGGGCAATTTTATCAATGATTCCAACTATTCGACTGGACAGTGGATACAAGATCTATAAATATTTTTATAGTAGAGGCAGATAGGTTCTTCATTACCGAGGGGATGAAAAATGATCAGGATAAGTAGGAATCTAGAGTTGAGTCCATGATTTGATCACTCATGATCTTATTGAGTGGTCTATTCTTATCGCTTATTCATATAGATTTCTTTTGGAATGTGTACCTGCATGTGATTTCAAGGATTAAAATTGGAGGTGATCTCATAGACTGAGTGTTCAATTTCCTGACTTGCAGGTTAGTGCTGGTTCTGTGATTGGGATGTCCCACTGAGGAGCAGCACTGACTGGTAATTGTTAGACAAGAAATTGCAGAGCTGTAGTCTTGATTCTCCCTCATTCACTGAGATGGATAGAATATTAAGGTCTCTATAGGCTTGTGATTTACTGATTACACCTTTTCCTTTCCTTTTTTTTCATTGATTTATTTTGCCTCTCCAGTTGAAGGAAATTGCTCCATTGTAGGGGTTTTATGAGAAATCAGGTTTCACAATACCAACTGGGGTTCCTGCTGGGTCTGACACCAAACTATATTTACAGAGTCACAGTTTGATAGAGCTCAAAAAGAAATGATTTGGGTCATCTTGCCTGTATTGCTTCTTTGTGCTGTTTTCCATTTTGTTCCTTCTGGAGTTTACCCTTGCTGGGATGTCTGGTTTTTTTCAGTGGCAACACAGATTGGATGTTGGAGCCTGCCCAGATGGTGACCCCTCCCAGAAGTTTGTTCAGTTCCTTGTTATTTTGAATAGCAAGCAGTAGGTAACGGGGAATGAATTTGGGTCAGCATAGTGGCTCATTGGTTAGCATTGCTGCCTCACAGCGCCAGGGATCGGGTTCGATTCCAGCCTCGTTTGACTGTCTGTGTGGAGTTTGCACATTCTCCCCGTGTCTGTGTGGGTTTCCTCTGGGTTTCCTCCAGCAATCCAGAGATATACAGTTTAGGTGGATTGGTCATGCTAAATTGCCCATAGTATCCAGGAATGTGCAGGCTAGGTGGATTAGCCATGGGAAATACAGGATTAGAGAGATAGGGAAGGGAGCATAGGTCTGGGCGGGTTGCTGTTCGGAGGCTCAGTGCAGAATTGATGAGCCGAATGGCCTGCTTCCACGCTGTAGGGATTCCCTGATAATGTGTGTCGTCTTGTTGTCATTGGCTTTGTTGCTGGCCAGCTTCACGATCTCTATGGTTAAATACCAAGGACAATAGTCACATAAAGGGAGCACCAGCCCTGATATACTCAGCAAAGTGACCCTTGTGTAGCAGCTGATGGATGTGGTTAATGCGAGGTAGAGCGCATCTTAAAAAGGCAGGTCTTAACCTTAGCCTTAGTGCATCCTTTCCCTGCAGTTTTACCTGGATATTTTCCAATGTTTGCTTCAATCAATGTTGAAGGAGCTGTCCAGACTATCCCCATTTGCTTGCCTTTCCCTGTAGCTATGCAAATTCTTCTCCCTCCAGAATTAATCTGACTTCTTTTCGAAAATTATGATTAAATCATTTCCACTGGCTTTTCAGGAATGATGTTCCAGGTTTTTCAGGTAACCTCACTTGGAGTGATGTGACGAGTTGTGCCCAGCCTTGTCTTGGATTTGTTCTATTTAACGTGCAGAAATTGAACTGTACATTCATATTAGGGATTCTCCTGCAATCACTTCTCTATCTTCCCCCAAAGTTCTGGGATACTCCTGATCAGGTCTCGGGGAACTGATTGCTGGACTCCTTGCTGAGATATTTGTATCATTGATAACCATGGGTTAGGTGACGAAAGACTGGAGAGTGGGTAATGTGGTGCCATTATTTAAGAAAAGTAGTAAGGAAAAGCTAGGGAATTTTAGATCGGTAAGTTTGACGTCAGTGGTGGGTAAATTGTTGGGGATTCTGAGATACAGAATTTACACTTTTTTGGAAAGACAAGGACTGATTAGGGATAGTCAACATGGCTTGGGAAATCATGTCTCTCTAACTTGTTGAGCTTTTTGAAGAAGTCACAAAGAAGGTTGATGAAGGTAGAATGGTGCACGTTGTCAGTGGACTTCAACAAGGCATTTGACATGGTTAACTGGTTAACAAGGTTAGATCACATGGAATACAGGGAGAGCAAGCCATTTGGATACAAAATTGGCTTGAATGTAGGAGACAGAAGGTGGTGGTGGAGGGTTGTTTTTCGGTTAGAGGCCAGTGACCACTGGTGTGCAGCAAGGATTGGTGCTGGGACTACTGCTTTTTATTATTTATATAAATGATTTGGATGTGAATGTGGGAGGTATGGTTAGTAAGTTTGCAGATGACACCAAAATTGGTGATGTAGTGGACGGTGAAGAAGGTTATCTGAGTAAAACAGGACCTTGATAAGAGTGGATGGGCCGAGAAGTGGCAGGTGGCGTTTAATTTAGATAAATGTGAGGTGTTGCATTTTTGGAAAGGCAAATCAGGGCAGGACTTATACACCTTAATGGTAAGGTCCTGGAGAGTGTTGCTGAACAAAGTGATCTTGGGATGCAGGTTCATTGTTCCTTGAAAGTGAAATCGCACGTAGACCGGGTAGTGAAGAACATCTTTGGTATGCTTGCCTTTATTGATCAGTATATTGAGTATAGGAGTTGGGATGTCTTGTTACGGCTGTACAGGACAACGGTTAGGCTACTAGAGGGCATAGGTTTAATGTGAGGAAGTAAAGATATGAAAGGGACCAAAGGGACCAACGTTTTTGCAGAGGGTGGTGTGTGTTTTGAATGAGCTGCCAGAGGAAGTGGTGGAGGCTTACAACATTTAAAACGGATTTGGATGGGTACATGAAAGGGAAGGGTTTAGAGGGACATCGGCCAAATGCTGGCAAATGGGACTAGATTAATCTAGGATATTTGGTTGGCATGGATGAGTTGGACCAAAGGGTCTGCTTCTGTGCCATATGACTCTATACAGCTATGACAAGATCTTTTACCTTCAGTGCCCAATGCCTGTATTCACTACCTGGAAAAAGAAAAACTGTAAAGCATTCATACATTAGTTTGCCTTAAGATGGTGTGGTACTTTATACCTTGAGGAATATTGACCAAACGCTTGACACTATATCAAGATCGTAGCACTCCACAGAGTCTAAACATTGTTAATGCCATTAAAAAGTCATAAGTGACAACTTCACAACTAAGCATTTTTTTTATTGCAGGTAAACAATATAGGTAGCAAGTGCTAGCTGAATGGATGAAAGCGGTTAACTTTGAATTGACTTCATGTAGAATTGTTTTTCACAACAGATTCCAAATGCTTTGGACAACTGTTTGACTTGCTAAGTATTTTTGATTGGATTAACTTAATACAACATTAACGTACATGCCCATGGGGTTAAAAATTGCTGCAGAAATTTTGTTAATGTACAAGGAGATTCCATCTTTCAAATTCGTCACTTGGATGATTGCCTGGAGTTAGTGGTAAACAACTATCTTACTCATTAAATCAGTCACATAGCCTTTAATCCCTTATGTTCTCTCGTCTTTCTGCACTGCTGACCTGAGCTGTGTTACATCTGTCTCCCAAGAATGGATAGTGGTTTGAGAGAAAAGGTAGGATTAGATGGGAAGGAGGAACAATTTTGGACCAGCTTTATGGGGACCAGCATGGAATTATCTGATCAGTTGTGTAATTATTGACTGCTGAGACCCTAAGATCTGGAATTGGCCCCATTTCCACCTCTCTTGGTGTCTCTTCTCTTTTAAGATGCTCCTGAAAACCTGCCTCTTTGACTAGCTATTTGTCACCTCTCCTAATATCTCCTGATATGACAGTGTCAGATTTTATTTGAGGTTGCTCTTACAAAGTGCCTTTTAATTTCTTTTCTATTTTGAAGGTTCTCTTTATAAATACAAGTTATTTATTCTTGAAAGTTGATACCACATATCAAAGCTAATTCTATTCATCTACTTCTGCAAATGTAGTTAAGAAATTAGGAGGCTGGGGACCCTGCTGGTTTAGTAGCTTTATCCAGTGACTTTACTGATTCATCCAGACCCTGGTTCCCCACTCTCAGCTGGCAGGGTGTTGATGATGCTTCAACTGTCATTAGTCTCCAACACTGGAGAGGGGAGAAGGAGTCTAGGATTTCCTGCTCCTCTTGCCTTCTGCTGTACACCTTGAAGTTATGAATGGTTCTTGATGGGAGGCTCAGGATTGCGATATCCCCTCTTGGAGTCATTGTCAAGGCTATGGCTGTGTTTTGCTGAAATGTCCAAAGGCTAGGAGTGCTCATGGAATGGAATTGAATGACTCACTGGTCCAGAGTGAGGGAGCTTCAAGCTAACTTTAAAGTTAGGCCATCCAGAGATGATGTCAGGATCTTTCACTCAAAATCTGGAGCTCTTTCCTCAAAAGTGTGGAGACTGGGGGTGAATGAAAATTTCTAAACGGTGAGATTGAGGTTGATAAAACCTACAGAACAAATGCAGGTGTCTGGAGTTATGATGTGGATCAGCCACACAATTACATTGAATCGTTGAAGAGCCGAACCCTGTTCCCACTATTCTTAGACTCTAACATAAGAACACAAAGGCAATGAAATGATTGCTGGACTGGACTATTTGATCATTTGAGTCTGTTTTGCCATTCATTTGGCTTTTGGTTAGTCATCATCTTCAGTTTCAACATACTGCAACATCCCCTTATCCTGAATTTCCCTCATTTCTCAAAAATCTATTAACCTCTGAGTGCTCTCCATGAGCAGCGCACCTCGTACATCTTCTCCTATTCGTACAGGTC